AAAAAAAAAAAAAAAACTTCAAGCTTCACTCAATCTGTGATTGATCTATTTGGCATCATACAATAGCTATTCATGGGTGGCTCAACCCAAGTCTGTATTTCCAGCTTGAATCCATTCTCTTCTCTAATCCCCCACCCCATCCAGGCTGGTTTGGATCACCGTAATGACCTTTGACGGGTCTATTCCACTCTCTGTGTTGCAGCTAGAGCACCTTCTCTTGACATCCACAATACTTTACCCCTTTATGGGAGGGGCCATCTTATTCTTAGCCTCGGAGCAGTAAGAATCCAAATATGAGAAAACCTCCCGGATGTTTCACTCCTACCCAGTGTTGTCAATAGTCAACACTCTTCACTTCTGCTTGCGTGCCTTTTTTTCATCCTTAAGAGCTAGATGGCTCTGCATGGCACCTGGCTCTGTACTCAAAACCAGCATTCACCATATTTATGTTCCTTTCATCTTTTATTTGTGAGGCACCTGCTGCTGGTGCCTGATTTTCCTACAGGCCTACTTTCTTTTGATGAGTGAATGCCAGTGCCTTTAGTGCTGGCCCGCTCAAATCCTTTTTGAAAATACAGTATAATACATGCCCGGCTTATGAACTCAATGATTGTGATAATCATATGATCAAAAATACAGATGTTGGCGCCAAAGGCAAGGGAAGCAAGGGCAAAAACGAACTATTGGGACTTCATCAAGATTAAAAATCTTCTGCACAGCAAAAGAAACAGTCAACAAAACCGAAAGACAACCGACAGAATGGGAGAAGATATTTGCAAATGACATATCAGATAAAGGGCTAGTATCCAAAATCTGTAAAGAACTCATCCAACTCAATACCCAAAGAACAAATAATCCAATCAAGAAATGGGCAGAGGACATGAAGAGACATTTTTCCAAAGAAGACATCCAAATGGCCAACAGACACATGAAAAAGTGCTCAACATCACTCGGCATCAGGGAAATCCACATCAAAACCTCAGTGAGATACCACCTCACACCAGTCGGAATGGCTAAAATTAACAAGTCAGGAAACGGCAGATGTTGGCGGGGATGCGGAGAAAGGGGAACCCTCCCACACTGTTGGTGGGAATGCAAGCTGGTGCAACCACTCTGGAAAACAGTATGGAGGTTCCTCAAAAAGTTGAAAATAGGGCTACC